TATATATATATATTTAGAATTTTGTATATATATTAAATGTTAAAAATTTATAAATAATATTTTATTTTAATTTTTAGTATTATAAAATTATATATTATATTTATTTAATATTAATCTTATATTGATAATAATAATAATTATTTTATTAATATTGATTTGATCATAATTTAATTATAATTAAATCATTAAATTTTGTACTATTATCTGGATTGATTCAATGATCGGTTGAATTTTAAGAATATTTTTACTTTAATGTAGTTGTTGTGAATTTGAGATAAGGGTGGTGATCTAGATGATCTTAGCGGTGACTTTAGTGGCAAACACATGCAAACTTTGGTAGAATCTGATGGTAAATTAAGGAGTCTTCTTACATGTAAAAGTAAGGAATGGTTACATACAATTGTAAATTAAGAAATAGAGAATATTTGGAGGAAAAGATAATTGCGTCTTTTACATTAATTATCTGTCACGCAACATGAAATGGCCAGTTGATGAGAAACGCGTCAAGTGCCAAGTCTCTCAGTTTTGCGAAGTCGTTTTTATACCTAACTTAGCTCTGGTCATTTGAGTTTATCTTTAGAAACGATGAGTTGGGTATAACTATAACAATAAATTAACCAATTACTATTCTTAGGATGGATGCAACATATATAAAATCGTCTTAGTCGAACTCCAAAATAGTTGCTCAAAAGTTAATATTTCTTATCGACTTGAGTTGAAAAGTTAAAATAATTCTCCCGAACAATTTCTGTGAAGTCGATATCACTTCATTATTTAGCAAAAGTAATATCGACTTAAGAGTTAAAAACTTGAGATAACCATCAAGAACAAATTCTCTCAATTCAGAATTATTTAGAAGTAATACTAACTTGAGGATTAAAAAACAACGATAACTTTTTATAATCGTAACTTCGATGAAATTAGTGAGGACTATGATGTCGCGGCGCATAGCCGATGCTAAGGTTAATTAAATGTAGTATCACTATCAACTTTTAACCAACACTAGCAATGGAAAATTTTCGTTATGAAAAAAAAAAAAAAAAAAAAAGCAATCATGTAATAAAATTCATTTTTTTTTTTGACGGGGATACTTATATAATTAAATCATCAAATATAATTTACCTCCGAAGAATAAGCAGATTTACCCACCTAATTAAATAATCACAAAGATTCTGATCGTATTCCATGAATTACGTTCTTCTGAAAGTCCCCAGATTTTACGCTTAGTTTAATGAATAGTGAGGAGTGACAAGTAAGTTAATGCAGAAAACAGAAGGTTGAGTTTGAGAAAGTGAAAGGAAGAATATATTATATAGTGTGGAACCAAATTGCGTATAGTAGTAATATAGATGCGTCATCTATCTGTAGCTCACTTTCACTCTGTTATGGGCAAAGGGTTGGAAACATTTAGAGGCATCTGATCGTAACATATAAAATAGAATTATTGAGTGAGTTTGTAGCATACGAAAGCAGGTGGTCAAGAGACAGAACAGCAACTTCGGTTTGCGCGTCTATGGGTGAAAAAGAAGAAAGGAGGGTGGCTGCTGCTGACGCAACAGAGTCAAGTAACGGTGGTGATATATTGTTGCGTTTGTGGCGACTCATATGATGCTGATGGTAGTGTAACAATCATAGTCCATAGATAGGGGTTGTAACTCACGTACGTTACATATAGTAAAAATTCAACAAACTGCACACCACGTTATTCCATCTTAACATTAAAAAACGATCCATGCATGACAACAATTTGTTATCAGGACCTGGTTAATCTAAATCTACCACTTAGGTATTTGAATATTTGAGAGAAGGTTTTAATTTATGGGTGTAAAAAGAATGAGATTAATTTCTAGGTATGCAACCTCGGTGTAAAAATATTTACATAATTGTTAATCACACGTGTAAGATATGTTTTTTTTAAATAATTATTATAAAATCAACAAATTAATATACATAATTTTTTTTATTAATTGAAAATATAAAAATATATCTTTTACACTATCAATATTTACATACCATTTTATGTATAAAAAAAACGAATATGGTTATCAATATATTGAACAAGAAAAATTTAATTCATCAAAATAATTTTTAAATTTTTTAAATGATATGTTTTCCAAAAATAAAAAATAAAAAGGAGTATAGAACTAACAAAATAAGTTTAATTCATTAACTAATTTGACTCTCGATTTCAAGATGTATAGAGTTATATACAAAAACTTACCAACTCCCATAACTTGTGGGTTATAGCAAAGCTAGATGGATTAACTTACTATAGGCCGTCTTTCCCCTTCCCTAATTTTAATATAAGTCTTTAAAACCTTAAAATCTGATTTAATTTCTATTTTTTTTTTCTAATATTCTTTGTCCAATGTATCTATTTTTCATTTTTTTCATATCATTCAACTTTTTATTTAAGAATGTATTTATACTGATATTATTTTTTTTCTTTTTCTTTTGATGAGTTTACATGACAACTTGTCAAAAGATAGAGTGAGCTGGCTTTTCTAAATCATTTTTTAAAATGCACCAACCCATTTTAACCTGTTTTGGAAGGTATATGATAGGCTGAATAGTTTGATTTTGGAATGTTTAAAACTAGCTAAATAGTTTTAAAGTGCTAAATTGATTAATAAAAAAAAAAACTGATAACCGATCAAATTGATAAACGAATGACTGAAACAAAAAAAAAAATCATGTTTTTCCGAAATAAATAATCTGAAAAAAATATTATTTATTCAAATCAACATGAACCAAACAATTGTTTTGAGAAACAATCTTTATATTTTGATCGATAACTTTATAGAGGATTTTCATCATAACTTAAGGTCCTGTATATATGTTAAGACTTCATATTAACTCAAAGTGAGACCCATAATATTTTTGCCTCTTTTAAGGTTTAATATCATGACAGTTTCACTCTGCTGACCTAAACGAGATGGTAGGCTTTACTCATTTATTAATAGTATTCAAGGAGTACCTATGACACCTCAGTCAGCTTATCCTCTCTTGAACCCAATTATATCAAGAAGAACATTTATCGTTACAACTCAAGTCTATGACAAATCGAATCAAAAATACTAGCTAGTCTATTGGATGGAATAGGTAATAATGAATATATATATATATATATATATATTCAAAAT